CTAGCGATCATTCGAGATATTTCGAGAATTTCGAGACATTGCAAGATCGATTTGCTTTCTCCTCTTTTTATTAGGATTTCCCGATGCAGCGATAAACGCAATTTAAATTGAAAACCCCAGTATTTCCACCGGTTGGGGCTATAGACGATTCTCTCTGTTTCAATAAAAGGAAAACCCAAAAACAATAGAAAAAAAAAATCGAGATGAGATGGATAATAGATGCCGGAGCGAGAGCAACAGTTGCGTGGGTGGATGCGCGTTTGATGAGAAATGTGGAGGCGAGTTGAGTGAATGTGGGGGTGTCGGGACGAGGTCGGGGCGACATCGGGGGGGTAAAAAGGGGTTGGAAATACAGCGGCGCACACTTCAACGTGCCTCAGTGCCTTCAGTTCCTCACCGACTGTGGAACCGCGCGTGTCTCCATCAACACTCAAATTATCGTGAATCTATTCCATCTTATCACTCAAGTTTTATAATACTAAATTTTGAGATAAAGTGTTTATCCCTGAAATCGATACTTATCGATTTACTAATCCAACGAAAACGTTAACAATCTGGCCGAGGAAAGGAGGTCAATCTGTGCGAATCGCTATTCATCAACAAAAATATTTTTCTCTTCCCAATATTTTCTCTTCCCAATATTTTCTCTCTACTTTCTCCCCGGCATATGAATCTTCTCCATTCAAAACAGTGAAAAATTGATATCATGGGCATCAATACATAAATCGTCAATCAATCAAATATATCGGAACATTTATTTTCCCTTCGGTTTATCTAAGAGCTCATGTATTCGATATAATTCAGAAAATTGTTTGCATAATTCATTACCACGTCTTCACTGCGAAATCATTTAACTATCAATGCACCCCCCCACCCCCTGACTTTTCTCCACCGCCGCGAAATATCGTCGTTTAAACACGGGAAATCGACAGCTCAAATAAAATCTGTTGCACGTGTAAATAGTGAATATCGGTAAAATGAAAAATTGCTTGAAAAATAATGCTGATAAATAATGAAATTTTCTCTCCGAAAATACTACCCTTATCTTATTAATCATCTCCAACCCAATTGACTCTTTCCTGCCCCTTTGCCCCTGGGGAGTCTTGACGGTGAAAGTTTTTGCGAAATTAATACACGAAGTTCTCATTGACTCTATACAAGCAAAGCTTAATGGACTCACGCGCTGCGTGCAACTTGTTAATCCCACCTCCACCTATCCCCCGTAAACTTTAAGTCGCTGGGATATAATGTGACGGGTTATACTCCAGTGACACCTTTTCATGGATCGATGAGACTCACTTTGTATCGCTTTTGCAACTTTAATTGCTGATACATGCCCCATTTATCTTGCTTTTCACTGGCAAACAAACTCTCTCTGTTCAACGACAGCTGTCGGTTTTTCAGTGGAGTGTTTCTTAAATCGAAAGAGTAACGAAAAAAAAATGAACGTCGTGAAAACCTCAATTTGGTTCATTGAGTCAAGATTGAGTCATCAAGACTTGACGGTTGGAACTTCAAGTTCATCGGGATCGGAAGTAACGTAGACTATAGTTAGATTTCAGTTATCGATGAGTTTGAGTCAATCCGGAAATATCTGGGTAGTATCCGAGTCAAATATTTTAAATAGTCATAGACCTGATTAAATACTGATTCAAGTTGTTGAAACTTCAGGTTCTAGGTGGCCTTGGGTCAATTTTTTTATTTAAGAACCATGTGCT